GTTAATATACAATTACCATATTTCGTAGGTACTTCCCCAGCTACTGGAACGTCATTTTGACACAATCTCGCCAGGCCTTGCTTATGAATGCTTGTAAAATTTTTGACATGACCGGTTTAAAAAATTCAATAGTTGCTGTTTTAAAAATTTAAGAATTAGAAAAGCGAATTTGCGACTTTATTCGCAGTCTGTTGACGACATCCTCACTGCTTAAAAACCGTAATCTTTTGGAGGAAAGATTCGCTACTTTATTTTTGTTTTGTATCTTTGTTTTACAGTATACGTATCTGATTGATAAATATTTTATATTAAACTTTCAGCGCGTACGGTCACTGAATATGCGTTTCATTTGCAGATTTTCTCTGAAGCTTTCCTTGTCAGAATCTAATGTGCTTTTAAGTAGTTGATGGTGTTGTAGGGACACTAACATGAAAGTTGCATTCGGGAAGTTTCAAGATTGCTGACTAAATTTTGGCATCTCGTGAGTCGAGTCGATATGAAATGCAGCAGGTAAAATATAATCTTAATAAGTTGGTTATTATTTTGGCTAAATTTTTCGAAGTTGAATCTCTGTATACTGTCATCGTCATTGTGATTATGGTTTATACCTACCAACAGTTAGTATGGGGACACGAATCGCTAGGAAAAAGCGGTAGTTATGATAAAAAATCATGTGATAGCATGATGTTGAATGCTAATGTTAACCTCTGTCTCAAAGAGTGCGTGTCTACTTTCGCCTATACCCACAAATGTTTGATATTAATCAAAGGCCATGTACCAAATGAGGTTTCGCTGAAGGGCTGTATAACATAAAACTCCAAAGCGATTTGGAACAAGGAGGTTTCAAATATCTTCCATCTTTGGATAAAGAGATTAAAATTGCAATAGTTTGGACATGGTGAGGATGCTGCTGGACGGACGTGCAGGATAATCTGCATCAACAGCGGTCCAGAGGGCTGACTGGAGACTAGATGGCTTGGTTTTGTAAAGTTCTTGGTATTTCGACCCTTGAAATTAACCGCTTGTCGGAACTGTTTGAAAAATTTCATGTAGTAACCCCGTGACACCATTTTAAAAATTATAGCAGTGAAAAATTGGGTTTATTTCAAACGGTAGAACGTCAAATATCTGAACTATTCTATTTTTAAAACTTTGTCAGTCCTAGATAGTGGCAACGCCATGAACACTGGTATTACTCATTCCTGTGTGAACCGAACCGTTCAAGTATCCGCTTTATTTTGTCTCCATCCAGCATCGCTGTTTGTCATTGGCGCTAGACATCAGCCACCCTGAAAGATCTGTACTTGCATACCCTCTGCTTAATCTTAGTATGCCAATTATACGCTCGTAGAGGAGGAGGTGTGAGAAATTGTGCTTTATGCATTAAAGTAGCCTCTTCCAAAGGTGACGATTTCATAAATTCTTTGACACATGAGCAGAAAATTCAGGCGCTGTACTTGCCGCAACTAACTGATAAACGGGTAAAAATCTGATTTACAAATAGTAGAGACACATTATTCTTGTTTTGCCACGTCAGATTGTGACTGCTCGCAACCGTTCTGTTTGAGGCAGACAATTTGATACAAATTGCAACTAACTGAATTTGCAAACGTATATCCCATGAGTATAGAAGTTAATGCCGCATAGAGGTTCCTTGATTTTGAAAGCGGAGAAAATCATCAAAAAAGATGTCGAAGAGTTCGAACATTAATCTCTTTGTTAGCACCTGAAGCTGAATCGCAGCTAAGCGAAAGTGGATTTTTGACACTAAGGAGCAGTCAGAGCAAGTGCTTTTCAACTTTTTCTCCAGCTGATGCGTTGATCCCCACCTGAGTACCTGGGAACTAAGTTTTAATTTATTTTAAAATTACTCCGCAACGGTCAGTTAAAGAGGTTGGTCAACGATTCTTGATTGACAGATCTCTTCATGCTTTGATGATAAATTTCGCTAGAGGAGTGACGTCTTGACTAAAATGTTTGACAGATGGTGCATCTGTAGTAGTCCCTGAAGAAAGTATAGTAATGCTTCTTCCTCATGCCTTCTGTCCTTTCGAAGGTCAAAATTAGAGTCACGGACATATGCACTAGGTTTTTCTTCTCTGTGTCCATGAATGGGTTTAGTCCATAATGGTTAG